AAACTAAATATTCTGCTTTCCAAGAGTTAATTCAAACAAAAAATGTTTAGTTAAAGCTCTCATCATGTAATACCTTTATACACATATCTTAATTGATCTACTTGAGTAGATTATAATCAAATATAAGCAGACAGTAAAATACACCAAAAATAACCAATTAGAATGTTTTTTTTTCATTTTTAAACAAAACTTCTGAGATGACAGTCATGTTAACTCATTGTCAGTGAAAAAAAGCATAAGCCAGAAAAAAATAATGAAAACTAAAATACACAAAGTTGATAAATATTACAGCGAAAGATTTGCTACATGATAGGTCTGAAATACTGTTTATTATTGATAAAATGCAGTGCTGTTCCTATGCATTGTATGTAAAGGAAAAATTACTAGATTGTTTCGAGATGGTGAGACAGACAAAGGAGTTTTAGACCATAGGAATGGAAAGACAAGAAAACACATCAAGAATTTCAAGGAGAAAGGAAAAATAATCTCGAGAAAACAGTGTTCACATAAGAATACTAGCAGTATTTCTTACTAATTTTGTACTATGAAATAGTTACTATATCAAAGACCATATAACCTACAGCCCAGATGCTTCTATTTCATATGGAAAGACATGAAATCTATAAAGGGGATGAAAGCCTGTACCTGGGTGAAATGTTGTGTTCATTAAAAATGCATCATATGCAAAAATAAGTGTCTGTAATGCACTTCCATGTTGTGGAAACACATACGACTCCCTAGTCGCTGGTTGGGTGGGGTGAGAAGCAGAAAAGGCCTTGACTCTGTGTAAGGCTGTTCAGCAATAACTAAAACATTTCTGCTATTAATGCTGTTTCCAGCACAAACCCGAAACATAGCCCCACACTAGCTACTATGAAGAAAATTAACTCTATCCTAGCCAAAACCAGCACATCACACTAGCTGAGTTTTAATTACTTTTTAACAGAATCAGTGCTCAAGTTTAAACCACTTCTCAAGTTTAAACCACTTCTCAATTTGGGCAGTCTTTTCTGACTTCTCTACCTAATAAGGAGCTGGCCCCTTGAGATAAGGAGGATTGCTGTAGGAAGATTCCATGAAAGTTTGGTCAGCCAGCTCAGCACTGTGTATTTCTGAAGTGCATAACTTACAACTAAATTCTTTAATCTGTTTATTAGTGCCAGTAAGATCAGACACACATTCTCCATGTGCTGCTTAAATTTGTGATGCCTTAAGCAGCTGTTTCCAACACTGCTCAGTAATTTTCTAGGACATGCTACAGCTTCTTGTGGAATAATTTTCATCTTTCAGTATCTGCTTTATATTCATCTACTACCAAATAAAATATGCACATTCTTAATTTTCCTTTAGAGGTTACAATTAAATATTAATAAAATTTAAGTATTTTTTAAAGTGATGAGATGCAGCACATGCTCAAACTACACAAAAGTCAAGTTCACCTTCCTTGTCTCTATAGGAGATGTGCACGGATGGAATTCTACTTCATTGGAAGCCAGAGGAATACTAGTTACTATAAAAAAAGTAATTTCTGTTTTCCCCACTTATGTAAACCTGAAAAAGGAAAGAATATAATCTCTATAAAATGAATTAATTTATTCAAGATACACCATTTTTCTACCCAGACCCCTAAAGATTTTTACCTGAAGTCAGGGATTCACATGAACGAGCATATCATATTAGAGATCACAGAATCATGGGATGGCTTGGGTTGGAAGGAACCTTTAAGGGTCATACAGTCCAACTCCATGAAATGGGCAGGCAGGTTTTCAAATAGATCAGCTGGCTCAGAGCTCCATCCAACCTGACCTTGAACACTTCCAGGAATGAGCCATCTACCATATCTCTGGGCAGCCTGTGCCAGTGTTTCACCACCACCATTGTGAAAAATTTCTTCCTTATGCCTAGTCTGAATGTACCCTCTTCTAGTTCAAAAACATTACCTTGTCTTATCATCTTACCTTTTAAAATATCCCCATCTTTCTTATAAGACCCCTTTAAATATTGAATGGCCACAGTATGGTCTCCTTGGAGTCTTCTCCAGGCTGAAGAGCCCCAGCTCTCAGCCTTCTCTCAGAGGGGAGGTCCTTAATCCCTCTGATTATTTTTGTGGCCCTGCTCTGGACCTGCTCCAAGAAGTCCATGTCTTTCCTCTGCTGAGAGCTTCAGATCTGGATGCAGTACTCCAGGTGGGATCTCATCAGAGAAGAGGTGCAAAATCTCCTTTGACCTGCTGGACATGATTCTTGTTATGAATCAGTGTAATCTGAAGGTGATAAAGGTTAGCTTCATTTTATAATGGCTTGTATTAGTAAAAGTGTAGCCAGCAGGTCATCTGCTCAACACTTGGAGGCCACCCCTAGAGCTCTGCATGAGGTTTTGGGCTTTGGTGTAAAAGAAAAAAAAAAAAAAAAAGACTGAAAAAAATTGGAACAAGTCCAGCTGAGAGACGCCAATATTGTGAAAAGGTTGCTGCACATAATACAGGAAGAGAAGCTGAAGGATCTGGGTTTGGCTACCCTAGGAAACAGAAAGCTGAATGGGGATATAATTCTTCAGCTCCCTATTGAGTGATCACAGCCAAGACAGAGCCAAACTTTTCTCAGAATTGCACAGCAACTGAATGAGAGGCAACGGCAGCAGGTGGTCCAGAAAGGCTGTGGAATTGCTATCCTTATAGATACTCAGACCTCAACAAGACAAGGTCCTCAGTAACCAGCTTGAATTTTAAAGCTGAACTGCTCTGAGCAAGGAACAGGACTATATGACATTCAAAGATCTCTCTCAACCTATATTATTTTGGGAATCTGTGAAGGTAAAATACATTGACATATAGGATAAATAATATTTTTATAGGTTTGTTCAGGGAAGCTTTGTGTACTGCACGACAAAGGTAGGTGTTGCTATAGATACAGCTACCTAAAACATGCCATGTTGTTTTTACATTTTTATAGTTGTGTCAGAGTTAACCAAACATAACATCAGGGACAAGGTTGGTTTATTGGAAGTGGCAGGTGTTTCTGGAGATTGAATGGAATTGGGAAATCACAGAATCATGTGTGGGTGTTGTCAAACACAGAGGTACAGGGATTAGGAATTCAGAAAATAAGAACTAAGGAATATAAAGCCACTGAAGAACATTAAGTTTTTCCAGGCCCTGAGAAGGTAAGTCACACTAATGCTGTTGCATATGATGTTCCTTTTATGTGTTGGTCACTCAAGAGATGACAGCCCACTAGTTGAGCTCAGAGTTTCAAGATGGGGGATTCCCATCAGTTTAGGTCTCTTAAAGTCTTCTTCACTTGGCTACCTGAACGCTGTTCATTTTTTCAAAAGATGTATATCAGGGAATCAGTGATCACTGTAATGTGAATGTTAAGAAGACTGAATTGCTGGGCAAGTTTTTTAAACAAAACTTTATTGAATTTACTTTTTACAGGTCAGCCATTCACACTACACTTAAATAGTTATTCTGCAATACTTACATTCTAAATACTTTGTGATTATACGATACCATGGAGCTGGTGCCATATAGTTATTGCTGATGGCTCTCATTGTTGGTTGTTCTTACTTCCAAAGTCAAGGTAATCTGTTTTATGAGCAATTTCATGAGAGAAGTCATTACTGAAGTGAGCTTGTTTTCCTTTTGCTCCACCTTTCCTCTTCATGTTTGACATTTCATGCTTTTTACCCCCTCCCTCCCTTAAAAAAGGTGGGTTTCCTCTTCTGATATTGCTTGCCTTAGGGCTTTTCTGTGTCTTGACTGTCCTGTATTCAGCAGTATGTCTTGCCTGTTTTCCGTGCCTTAAGCTAATCTCCTACTTTAGCAACATTTTTTACTTACATGATGTGCAACTTCACCCCTGTGCATCCCTTTGCTGGTCCCATTGTACACATGTGAAATGCTTATACATTGTGGCTGGCAGCACCCTCAAAAAGTTGTAAAATAATTTTATGCTACTGTTGGCTATACTGTTTTATTGACCTTATAATTGGATTCAAGTCAAGCTATTAATTATATAGTTATCAGAGCACTTGTAATTTATAGGTTTCATGGGACTCTTTTGAGAAGTTACTCTATTAAGCTTGTATTCCAAGAAAATATTTTCTGTATCTTTTATTTTTTTGTTTATAGTTATATCTAGTGTGTTTTTTGTTTTTTTTTTCATGTTATTTCTTAGTCCTTGAAGGTTATTGAAGTAAAAAGATGATGCTGCCAACATGTTTCTGTCCTAGTAATGCTTAATAATAATTCTGTCATAATAATGGAATAATGATGCAACATATTTGTCCCTATGTTTTAGTTCTTTTTTTTTTTTGTAAATGAAACTCTTTGTCTCAATGAGTCATGATTGTATTGTCATTGGTCCAAAACAAAAAATTTGTAATATGTGAAGACGACCAAAGGTTTCTCAATTACTCCAGAAATATTTTTTTCTTAAAGGAAAATATTATATTGAGCCTTGTACTGAAAAACTTCACTAGATAGCTTTAAACCTTCCGCTTTCCTCTGCAGAAATTAGTTTTATTTATTTTAGTTAACAGATAGAGTCAGAACATATAATGGAACCCCCATATTATTTTTTCTCATTACCAGTTGGCCACTGTGTTTTTCTTGCAGGCTGTGTTAGTATCACTGCCTGGTTTCTCCCTCACTTCAAGGCCTTTTAAATCTCTTTTGCATGCTAAATTCTTCTGTTCCTAGGGGCAGCTCCTTCCCTTAAGAGCCAGTAATTATCTTGCCATTTTCTCCTGCTCAGGTATCCTCTTTTCCCACACTTTTTTAACAGACATGGTACATGAATTCTGAGTCTTTCAACTCTTTTATCATCTGCAGATACAGGCATGTAGAATAGTCTCAGCTGGGTGTAACACTGCATTCTGCTGTACTTTTGTTCAGTAGTAAAATACAAGACAGATTTCAGTAAACTTTGACATTAAATTTTAATTTTGTGTTCTCTCAGTGGTTGTTCTGTTGTTGTTTGTGCGTTTGTTATATCTAGTGCCTTTGTGCACCTGGATGGACAGGAGAATTTTGCCAATTTGCTGAAAATGCATGTTTGATTTACCCGAATAGTTGTTCTGATGGAGCAACTTGCATTGATATGAGCCAACTGGGAGAGCAACCTCTGTTTCAGTGTCTGTGTCTTCATAATTTCACAGGTAAGGAATATGCATGTAGAAGTTTGTAATTTCATTTCCTTTTAAATATTTAATATAGGAATGCTGAATTTTCAAAAATAAGAAATAAAGAAGTGTTTGGAGGAGTAATCACAACTCTCTGCATTTTCTGGCCTCTGCTGTGATGTCTGCAAAATTTAAATAAAGCATGCAGATTTAAATTTGAAACTTCCAGTTAAGGTTATAATAAGAATAGACATAGATTAAGCTTTAGATTCAGTTTAAGAGACTTAAGTGTATTTCTACGTATAGGAGCTCTACATGCGAGCTAGATGTCTTGCCATCTGATTATAGTTCCTGGAGATAAAGCAATGGAGTCTAGGAAGGTGGTTAGTTTGTATCAACTTTTTTTAGTCCACATAAATCTACTTATCTTTTCTGAGAGATGAATCCCACTTTCTGTTTCAATTCTTTGGTTGGCCACCAATGATTTATGCAACTTAGTCTGGGTGGAGTTAAATGATTCACTTTCACATGACTTTAGAAGTCTATAATGTAATGTGAGACCTAGTAAACAAGTCTTCAAGGCTCTGTGTATCATCAGTCAATAAGCATTTTCAGAGGGTAATTAGGACCACTTATGGATATTTGCTAGTGGTAGAAACACTTTCTTCAGGAGTGTTACTCTTTCAATTGCTTACAAAAGAAGCCTAGAAAAATAGTTTAGATTAACCATATTGGGTTTTATTTTACAAGGAATACAATTCCTAGGTTTTCTTCCATTCTTACCCTTTAACTAGAACCTCATTTAGGTTGGATTCTAAAATCCTTCACTAATCTTTGCATAAGAAGGGTACTGAACGAGGATCATTGAATACGATTCACTCCAGCTTTAGGAGAAATTAAGGAAACAGGTATTAGTCATGTGTATATACATTTAAAGATAAGTGGCAAAAAAGATTTACCAGCATTTACAAAAATAACAGTTTGAAAGACAGAAACTTAATTGCATAAAGAATGAAAATTAGATTAATGCTAGTATTAAAAAGAGAAAATTGACTTTACTGCTATTGAGATAAACATTATAGAATCATATCCCAGAGGGTTGTAACTATCAGCTTCTTCTTTCACTCTCACCTTATCACCTCTATGATCTTTCTTCAAACTAATCTTGTGTTACTTTTTATTGCTGCAACAGCTAAAAGTATGGATTTGATAATAAAAATAATGTTCGACTACAGTGCTTCAAGGCTTTTAAGATAATAGTAAGGTTTCTACTGTACAACGTAATCATCAAACAAAAGTCTGATAGACTATAGTAAATGACAATAAATAGATGCAATTTAGAAAATTTAACCTTACTAAATGCTGAGTTATTACTGAGTTCTAGTGGAATTGACTTCAGTGTTCAGGGAAATCTTAATATAAAGATTTTTTTCCTGTGTGCGATATCACTGTAAGAGGTTCTTCATATTGTAATAGATGTATTTTTTTTACTTCTTTCTATTCTTAAATAATAATTTTCATCTTCACTCTTGTTCCATAGCAATATTTTAACTTATACCTGTTTATTGTTTCATTTATGTGTTTGGGAAGGGAGAGAGGGAAGGACACTGCAGTTGCAAATATGTCATGTTTACTTGACTCTGAATGAAATAACGTCTGCAACCAGAAAGGCTATTGTAGTTTCACATCTGATTGTTCTTAATTGTGTTTGTAAATTATACACACTACAGTTGCAGCCTTTACATTAACATTTAAATAATATTTGGAGTAGATTTACCTTAGAGAAAAGAAATATGACATGATGTAACATTGTCAGCTGTGAAAAGCAGAACTTTGATTTAAAAAGCAATAAAAAAAAATCTTTTTTTTTGTTTCATACTCTTTAGCGAAACCTTGTAGAAGCTTAGCACATGCACACAATAAAAATGGAATTTTAAACTGCATTACTTATTTCTATTTGTATGTAAAATATGTTTTGGATAGTTGACACAGAAAAATATCCAAGTATTCAGCTTAGATGGTCAAAAGAGACAATAAAAAGGTTATAAAATATAGTTATTTTCCTTGAACAAATGTTACAGCTTTTGTATTTTAGACTTCCTTCTACTGTTAGTTCCTTATTTCCTTTTTTTTCTTCTCTGAAAGTGGATAAAAACCTTTGTATCTACAACAGGACATGTCAGTAACATGGTTTATGACACTGAAATGAAGCAACCCATGTCAGCAATTTCTCAGATTGTGCGTAGGAGACCAATTGTCCTTGGAGAAGCTTCCTCTAATTAACTACTATCTTTCCTTGTGTGTAGAGCAATCATATTCTCAGGAATTGATTGGGCATGTTAGACACTTAATTTAGTTGGTAGAAAAGTCTTTTAATTAAAATAATCTTACTGCTGCTAAAATGAGCTACACCCAAAACAAACTCACCAACCATTATTTAAAGTACTGCTTCAGTTAGATAATTTTTCCTCATCTTCAAACTTTCCTTTTAGAATATTCATCATGATAATTCATTGATTTATTCACATTTTTCCCCGCCCCTCTTTATCTCATTGTTTTATTGAGTTGAGACAGGGCTGCTAATTTCTACAGGTATATTGGAAATAACTATAAAGAGATTTGGATGAAGCTTGCACTATGGTGGTTCATAACAGTCTTCTGCAGAAAGTAGTTCTGGTGCCATAACAGCTAGTGGCCCAGAGAAGAAAATATGTGGCATAAAAGTTCCTGTATCTTTTACAATCTAGGTAAGGCAACATTTATACTATGAACAAAACAACAGCATGGCATAATTGAAACCATTTCTATCTAGTCAAATCCAGATTTTTAAATCACTTTATTTTGCAGAATACAGAGAAAACGTGATTTAAAGCTAGTGGGCAGCTAAGCACCACACAGCCAGTTGCTCACTATCCACCAGTGGGATGGAGAAGAGAATTAGGAGGGTAAAAGTAAGAAAAACCTTTGAAAATTGAACTCCTTTTTAAAAGTAGTTTTAATTGACAAAGCAAAAGCTACATGTACAAGCAAAGCAAAATAAGGAATTAATTCACTGCTTCCTATTGACAAGCAGGCCTTCAGCCGTTTGCAGAATATTTGGGGAAGTTCTTTATTTTATGTTGAAGTACAGTGGAAGTCTTGTAAGTCTCAACTCAGATAGATAAAAAGAACAATAACATTTCTTCTACTGCTCTATCCCCTGTACTGAAGGTGAGCTGGTAAAGGAATTTTTGTAGCACCATGGGAGGTCCAGTGACAGGAATGTCACTGGAATTACAAAGCAGTATGTCTGAGTAACAGATGCTGTCATTTGAAGCTTTGTTCATTGCACTTTTTATGTTATTACCATTGTCACCTTTGAAAGAGAAATTGTTAGTGCACATGGATTCCAAACATCAATGACTATGGACTAAAATAATAGAATAAAAGAAGTAACTTTCTAAGTATTACTGGAGGAATTCACTCGGAATACTTACCTTCATTAAATGAAGAAAAAGGGAACACTTCACTGCTTTGCAGAGGATTCAATTTCCTGTTAAAGAACTTTCAGTGATAAGTGACAGAAAGCAAAACCAACAACCAAAATACTTAAATCTCTAATAGTCTTCAACAGATGTCTAGAAATGTTTCCTGCTGTTTAAAATGCCTTTTAGAAGGCGTGGCTGAATAGCGTTAATTAGGGTGAAATGCAAACGATTTTAGCTAGGGCACAGGTCCTTACAAAGATTTGTCACCTAAGATAGCAAGCTGAATTATGTGAAAACACAATGGTGCCAGTCCATCTGGCGCATTCCACTTTAGTAACTGAGATAAATAGATAAAAGGATGGAAAGATAAAAGGATGGAAAAATAAGCAATCAAAAAATAAAAAGAACACATGAAAACATAGTGGCATAATATTTAGCTCGAAGCAGATAAACTTAGAACACTAAGTGAGGGTTAATATCTGATATTGTACCATACTTGTGGGAACTCCATGCAGACTGTGACCTAAAACAGGTTAAGTCAGCAATTATTTTCAGATCTTGATTTCCACAAGAATATTAAGACTACTGAAATTTTCATGCTGGAAATACTTTTTATTCTTTGGCATCCAGCAATTGCATGAAAAGCCAAAAGACTGTAAAAATGTTCTACTTGATATTTCAAAGAGAAACATAATATCAGTATTGAAGTTCTGGCTCCTTTTTAAATGGAACAGAATGTTCCCAATGCACAGAATATCTATGAATATGTTCATATTTTTTAGTATTTCAGTTTCCAGTTTGAATCGCTGTACAGTGAATGTATTTTGCCCATATGAATAAGAAAGAATTTTGACAGAATTTTAGTCCATCACGAACAGTTATGTATTTAACTTAAAGATGCTGTAGGTTGTTAAGCATATGTAATATCAATGTGTATGGATTGCTGAGTAAATAATTAGTAAAGTTCTCATCTGGAAGACATGCTTAAAAATTTGCACTTAAACTTGACATGTAAAATACTCCAGCTGTCTACAGCTGCTCATGTATTTCAAAAACTTTCACTCATCTCTGAAAACCTTCTTTTTATTTTTGAGCAAAGTACAAACTCCTTGACCTTTTACTTTCTGGGACTGTCAGACCAGCACTCAAACCAGAGTGGTGCTCTGCATCACTGACTATTTTAAATGTAGCAAAATTTCAGAGATGTAGTAGGAGTGTTTCCTCATCAGTGTGTTCACGTGAAAGGCTGACCTCAAAATTGGGTGTATACAAAAGAAACTAGCACTTTCTTTTCCTACTTTCCAATACCTACCAGGGTTTATTTTATGAAGACACAGAACTCCTAGATTTACCCTCAGGGAGTCTGCAGACCTCTGCTGATTGGCTTTAGCTTGTCTATCTCTTCTGGTGTCTCTTTGCAGATATTAGTGTCTGTATTTTTTTTTGTTGTTGCTTTTTTGGTGGGTTTTCTTTTGTTTGTTTGGTTTGGTTTGGTTTGGTTTGGTTTTTTTTTTTGTTTACTCGTTCAGTGTGAGACCTAAAAGGAAAGGTCTTTTCTCCATGGATCTC